AGCCTATAGGACAGTGAAGAACTGCCCCATAGGGTTTCCAAGGCTGTAAATCTTTATGGAAGCAGACTGCTTCATCTTTTTCCTGTGAAGGGCTGGTGGGTTCGAGCCACCAATATTCTGCTTAGCAGCCAAATGCCTTAACCACTGTACCACCAGAGCACCTTGTTTTACTCTTGATAGAAATTCTGCCTTTGCTTCTATTTCCTCAAAACCAAGTTAAGTGGTTAAAAAAATTAAAGCAATTAAAAAGTACTGATTTATGTAACATTTAGTAGGTTAATCCTTCTACTCAGCCCAGGAAAGAAGGTCTTTTATTTGTATTGTTTTGTTTTAAAGGGATGATATTTACATTACTATTTAATTTCATATCTATTAAATGTGAATATTCCATAAATTTATAAAGAGCAAATGAATATTTTACAATCTTAAAGTGACATGTAACAAATTTAAATTTTATCATTTCTGTGCTGAAAAAGCCAACTATAAAAAGTCACTATTTCCCCTCAACTTGGAATTTTTTTCTTAAGAAGAGATGGATCCTTCAACCATCTAAAGGTCAATCATATTGACTGACAGCATTTGGCATTCAAACTCAAACCAAACTCACGGCCGTCAAGCATTTGGCATTATGGGGGGAAAAACAACTAGGCATACTGCCTGTCATCACCACCTACTATAATTTGTCATCTAAAATTCTGGAACCTGACATTTAACTTGACCCAGCAAAGCAGCTTTATGTTTGTAATGGCCTAACTGTAAATCAAACTATGTTTTCCCTCTAATACACTAAACAGTAATTTAGAGGCAAACACAGCAAGTTTAAAACTACCTTCATTACAAAGTGCTACCAAGACAAAATAAATAAAAGTGACCTCATAAAAATCAAAAACTTTTGTTCATCGAAAGAATTTATCAAAAAAGTGAGAAGACAAGCTGTAGACCAGAAGATTATCTTTGGAAACCAGGTATCTGACAAGAATCTAATGAGCAAAATACATACAAAACTTCAACATTTTCACTTGCAACCTATCTTTTCATATCTGCTATTAAAATGAAAGGTAAGAGCTGATGTTTGGTATCTTACAGGCATAAGCCAAGAAAATTATGCTATTACCAATCCTCAAGGCTACGTATTGACTAAGATGTTTACTTTGTTAACTTTATTCTTTAAAGCCAATGGCAAGTAGAGCCTGTTGAAATTATAAACTTTAAAGTACTAGACAAAATAAGTATCCAAAGAAAATAATATCACTACAGTAAAAGCCTTTTTTTTTTAAATGTCTATGGAAAAGAAAACCAAACCCATTGCCGTCTAGTCAATTCTGACTCATAGCAACCCTGCAGGTCAGAGTAGAACTACCTAATAGGGCTTCCAAGGCTGTAAATCTTTACGGAAGCAGTCTGCCATATCTTTCTTCCACAGAGTGGCTTGGTGGGTTCAAATTGCTGACCTTATGATTAACAGCTGAGTGCTTTAACCACTGTACCACCAGGGCTCCTGAAACAGACTAAAATCTACAGAAATGAAAAAAAGGTAGTGATAAAACTGAACTAGACTATGCGGGGGAAAGTCTCATGGAGGAAAGAGACTTGAGCTAGGACTGCCAGGTCTGGATTGGAAGTGTAGAGGAAGAGAGGGCCTAACAAGAAACAGCATGGCAGAGGTTTAAGAAAGTATGGTACTTTAGGAAGGAATTAAGGAAATACCAGAGTCTCCTTAATGGAAATCAACACTGAGCAAGTAGGGTGGAGCCAAATTATGGAAGGCCTTGACTGACAGGCTGGGGAGTTTGAACTTAAACTTTACTTTTCTGAAAAGCAGGGTTGCACTTTGTGTAAGGGTCTTCTGGTAGATTAATATACAGGATGAATTGATATTCAGGGAGGTGAGATTGTTGAAAATAAAGAGTATTTTTACTCAGTATTTTCCTATTACAGTTCTCTGAATACAACAGGCATTGTTTAAAGTACAGATTTTAAAAACACAGTACAACACAATACATACATTGGCATCACTCCAAACTGAATACCAAATTAATTTCATAAGGCATATGATTTATAAAAGGATTTGTTAGCTCTTAAATATGAATATTTTATTACTGTAAAGTTTATAGTAGGAAAGCTGATAAAATATCCAAGAGATTATACATCATTTATGCTAGCTTTACAGAGGCACTATGCAAACTTTTTTCTCCTAAAAGAATTAGATAGTCTCAGTCTAACAAAAATAGAATAAGACAATATTTTCATATTCTTTCTTCTTAAGATGAATATCGTAGTGCAGTGAATTACCTGGTATGGCTCTTCTAGACATGGTCTTTGTGACTCCTACCAGATTACTGGGTGAAGCTAAGCCAACGGGAGGTGGTTATGGCCTACCAAGGGGATTAGACAGCTTGTCAATAATGTAAATAAGGTATGTATCCTTATGGGGGTTGGACCATGGAAATAAGGTATACGAAACCCTAATACAGGAATTGATCAGTTTTGTCATTTTGCTAGGCTTAAAACCAGAGGTGGAAAGTGGGAACCCACTACCATCAAGACAGCGAAGAGCCTTAAGTGCAATGCTTCCTTGGACCCAAGATTCCTACGTTGAGTTGATGGCAGAGAGAATGGCAGAGAGACAGCAGCAGCATAGGTAGCAGAGCCAAGAGACTGGCACGAGAGGTAGGCTTGCCAGCCCATGAAGCCGAGTGCCTTTGGGTAGGCAGCTTCCTGGTACAGTCGGGTGTACCTATCAGCAGAGCTAAAAGAACTTTGTAACATTTACCCAAATAGGGCAGAGGCCAGGCCTAGGGCCAAAAAGAGGTGGACTGTGGCCATGGCCTAGGGGAGGCTGTCCTAATGGAAAAAGTGTATTCTGAACAGTCCTGAACCTGAATTGTAACCTGTTGCTTACCTAATAAACCACATAATTGTGAGTACTGTCTGTGAGTTCTGTGTGGCCATTGCCACGAATTACCAAAACCAGCAAAGGAGTAGTGAGTGCTGTGGGAGGGATGGCTGGTGTCACAATTGGTAAAGAAGAAGCTGGAGGGTGGCATCATGTCTGACCTCATAGGAATCAGCCTTGGGCTGCTGATTTTGGTCCTTCTCGTCCCTTGTGAAATTAGAGGAGGTCAGAAGCTGCTGCCCCCACATCCCTTTTGCAAATATTAATACCAAAATGGAGGCTTTTTCTCTTTTTCTTCTTTTATTATTATTTAGCATAAAAGATGATGCTGAAGATTTGGAAGTATTTGTATGTTTCCTGACCTTGAAGTAATGCATGGCAATAATCCTAAAAATTGTAAATAACATTTTTATTTTGTGCTGAAAATTTCACTTCCCATTACCAGTAGCGACAATTACAGAAACATTTACAATTTAGACAAGATTAGTGAATCATGTCACCAAAAAACACAGGGAAGTTCCTAGGGCAGTTCCACAGTACTCAGCCAAACCTTCCCCCCCAGATGTTTTTAATTAAGAATTCAATAATATAAGAATTATATTTTCAGTATGAAAAAATATCCTATACAAATTAACACTGTATCATTATATTTCAGGTTATTTAAGTCTAATGAACAATAATTAAGTCCATACTGATTGAGTATAAGCAGTATTATTTATACTTCTTTCTTAGAACAAAGGTAGCTCTTTCCCTTTGCTTAGTCTAAGTAAGACTGTTTGATATGTATCAAAAATTACATATTTCTTAAACACCGCTAACCAAAATGTCGGTAGTTTGAACCTACCAACTGCTCAACAAAAAAAAAGATGAAGTAGTCTGCTTCATAAAGATTTACAGTGTTAGAAACCCTATGAGGTAATTCTACTCTGTCACTAAGTTGGAATTGACTCAAAAAACAGTGGGTTTGGTTTGGTTCTTTGCTTAAGATTTTCCATTACATCAGTTCCCTTTCCCCCAGTCAGGATAAAATTGTACTATTTTAGAGAAATATGATCAGGTTAGCACTTGAACATTAATAATCTGTATGCAAAGATTACAGTCTTAAGCTCTTCACTTACTGAGTTTGGAGAGAGTCTAATAGTTTAAAGTACTTATGGGTTTGTAAGTATGCCTCAACGGCACATAACAACAACAGCAGCTAAAAATAAATGTTATCACTAGAAAGCTTCTAAAAAAATACTTCAAATAATGCCAAATGAGCTTATCTGTCTAAATGTTAGATTAAGAAAATAATGTTAATATTCAAGTTAATCCTTTTTAATTTTTAACTTCATGTCTGCTCACAAAATAATTCAAATCATAGTAGTCTACTATTTTTCTTGTGGAACAGTAAACTTTTCTTTAAAATAAACTGTAAAAATAATTTTTAAAATAAAACTAAATCAATCACATATTCCACATGAAATTCTAGTTTTTACATTCATCTTAATAAAAATATAAGATACTATAAAATACTCCAAGAGTATCTGACAAATACTTTCATAATCTGTTACTGTAACTAACCTATAATAAATTCTGTTCATCACAGTAGAAATATAAAGCAAGGTTTGATGGGCTTATGTGATATGATATAAAGTCTAACAGTATTTCTTTTGTTGTTGTTGTTGTTATGTGCCCTCGAGTCCGACCCGACTCATAGCAACCTCTCTCCCTGGGTTTCCCAGGCAGCATCACTACGGAAGTAGATTGCCCCATCTTCCTTCCGAGGAGTTGCTTGTGGAGTTGAACCACCAGCCCTCTGGTTAGCAGTCCAGTGCCTTGGGCATTATGCTACCAGAGCTCCTAAGTGAAGAAAATATTTATTTCTAGAAGCAGTAGAACCTAACAAAGCAAAAAACAGTAACCCAAACCAGCAAGCCCCTCTACCAAAATAACAAAATTTGCAGAAGATGAAATTTACATGAAAATAAGGTTCGATTAAAAGGAAATAAAAGCCTAATTTGCTAGATGAAATACCATGAGGGAGTCGTCAGTTTTTTCTAAAGAAACAAACAAAAAAAGTAGAGTAGAAAATTACCAGTTGGGCTATAACAAAACAACTTACAGAGCACGGCCACAGCCCCAGACTCAAACATGAGACATTCATCTTTATGCCTAGTTTCCACTATAAGGCTGAAAGGTGGAGGATCCAATTTGTGATAGATTCGAAATCCTTTGCTGAACGCCATTCTGTCTTCAGAGGGAGCCCTGTGAAAAACCAAGCAAAGCTAAGCAAATGAAGCTAAATGTTTCCTTCCGCAGCAATGACTGCAAGGCATCCAGATGTCCCTCCCTGCCAGGTTTGAATGGGGGGGGGAGTGGAAAAAAAAGGAGGGGGGAGCTCAGAGGAAAAATGGCTCATTCCAAAAATTAAGTCGCCACTTGATTTAACCAAAAAAGCGAAAGGAAAAGCTACCAATTCTCACGGCAAGGCGAAAGGAGATTTTATCACTCTAAGTCCAAGAACGGTTTGGTTAAGATGAGTTTTCCTTTTAATTTGTGTTTACTGAAAGGGAAAATTTTGAGCGTATGTTGTTGGGAGTTATCAGTTTCCGGCTTCAGAATTTGTCACTACGTTGAAACGGAATCCAGTCGGAAACTTCAAGCCGTTCCTTGTGGGAGGAAAGGAGAAGAAGTGGGAGGGAAGATTAACCAAGCTGGTTCAAAGCTCCTTAGGGGGCGAGAGGAGAGAAAGGATTATCGGACCCACAGGCTCCCCGGGAGGCAGCGGCGAAGGGCAGAGGAAGCGGCACAGGTTACTGCCTCCCCCTGTCCACCTCCAGACCACCTCCAGCTCGGAGAGGGCGGCAGGCAGGCGCCGGTGGATATGAATGACCACCTGGAAAGAGTCACGACTGGGGATATGGACCCGCCTGGGGTTCCTCTGGACTCCCAGGCAGTCGGTTGACCCTGGAGAAAACGGCTCCTTCCCTGAAAGACAGAGGCGCCAAACAGACCAACCCCTCCATGATGCGTCAGAATAGATAACCCTGCGCCCAGACCGACTCGGATTCCTTCCCGCGGGCAGGCTGACAGCTGCTGTCACCAAAGCCCCCGGCGCAGCGCCCCGCACGCCCGTCCTCTTCTCAGAACCCAGCCCGTCCTACTAGACCCTGGTTGCCAGTGGCCGTCCCTCATCGCTCCCGCCCAGGCTGCAGGGGCAGAGGCTACCTCAGGAAACGTCTGCCTTCCCGCCCGGCTGCCCGTGGGTCTGGCCGCGGCCGCTCCCCGCCCCCCACCAGTTTGTTCACCTCTTCCTCCGGCTCCTCCTCCTGCTCCCGCAGCCCCTGCTGCCGCCAGAGCCTCCTGAATCGTCACTTCCGCTCCAGCAGGCCTATCTCTTCCGCATTGCGCTGCGGAGGGGAGAGGAAGGCCCGCCCCTCGCGGGGGAAGGGCGGGGCGTCAGAGGGGCCTCTCCCACGCGGGAGCCGAGCTGTGGGGCCTGGAACCCGGGAACTTCTGGTTGCACCACCTGCTGAGACTTTCGTTTCCAGAAGTATGTTCCCTTCTCCCCTCCAGGCCTAAGTTGTAGGTCCCACCACAGATGGAGGCGGGAAGAGGGAAGTTACGTCCTCCTTGGGGCCCCTTCGCGTGGGATCTTTAAAGCTTACCAGTGCTACCCGGGGGCGCCTGGAAGGGACTTTCGGGGAAAAGCTTTGGGGCTGGGTATTGGTATGTGCCCAAGATGGATGGCAAGACCACCCCCTCCGCCCCCGCTGAGCCTAACGGGGAAAGGGGAGGACCTGGAACAGCAAAGTCTCCGGGCCAACCAAGTGGCGCCTGAAGAGCTGTCCATGGTGTCTCGTAGCGAACAGCACCGAGTTCTTAGGCCATTTTTGGAACACTCTTGTTCGCTGCCTTTTCCTCCTTGTGTGCTCTGAAGCCCTCAGGAAATTCTATAAAAAAAGGCTGCTTAGCCTCCTGGTCGAGAGCGGGTATGCACAAACCAGGATTTCAAAACTAAGTCAAAACATAAATGCAATGAGGCCAACACGACCCTGGTTGTCACTGAATGTAGTAGCTAAAAGCATCTAACCTTTCATATCATCCTCACTTCAAATCATGCTTCCCGGTAAATCAGTGTATCCTATAGATTTCTCATTCTGTTTCCACTTGATAGACCTAAATATGGGAATGAAATAAAATCTAACAGGGCCAAAAGGAATTGAAAACGTCAGAGAACCAGTACTCTGAGAAACAATTTCCATTAGATTTAGCTTTTTCTTTACTTCTTCCCCTTCTTGCTTTTGATTGCAGAAGCAGAATTTAAATTTGGCATCTTGCACAAAATCATTTCCCCTCCAGGCCCTGTCATGTGATTTGATTTGGCATGTTTTCATTCATTTTAGAGAAGCTGAACCCACCCTGGTTTGGGAAATACTAGCTATAACTCAGTAGAAGAGAAGCCACTCCCAGGTCAAGAAAGAGAAATGTAGACACTTGTATTTAGTTCTAAGAACAAGAGATTTCTCTCTCACTCAATACTGTCTCCCTAGAAAACGTATTTTGCTTTCTGAAGTGCTTACAAACCTAAGTCTCAGTATTAAACTCATATTAAGATAATCTACTGGTAGAGGGTTACTAATATTTCTTTCTAGAGGATTCCATTTCAATTAAAGACTGCAACTGACAAAACTACAGGGGAGTAGGTGAGAATGGAATCATTCTTTTTCCTTCTCAGACTTCCTTCTCCAGACTCTGGAGTCTTGAAGATCTACTTACGTAAGTTTCACCAGAAATCCATATGGAAGGTAATGACTTTAGGAGAGATGTTAATTTTATCAAATGCATTGGTTGGGGCTTTCCCTTTTATGGCAACTAAGACCCAGAAAATCTGGGCAACTAAGACCTGCTGAAAATCACTTTTTCGAGTGAAGCTAGGAATTGAAACCAGTTGTTCAACCCTCTTCTACTACACTTGACACTAAAAACTCCTTTCTCAGAGTAGGAAGAGCGAGCGCTAGCCTTTCATAGAAGCAATTGTTCTTTTTCTGGTCCCTTTTGATATTGGACCAAGGAGACTGAGATCTAAATTTCTTGGCTTTGGGCTGGAATTACTGATATTTCTGAACTAGGGTTATTATATGATAAGTGATGTTGAGTTGGCTCTGACTCATAGCGACCCTACGTACAACAGAACGAAACACTGCCTGGTCCTGTGCCAGCCTCACAATCCTTGCTATACCTGAGCCCATCATTGCAGCCACTGTATCAATCCATCTCATTGAGAGCCTTCCCCTTCTTTGCTGACCCTCCACTTTACCACGCATGATACCCTTCCCCAGGGAATAGTCCTTTCTGGCAACATAACCAAAGTAGGTGAGAGAAAGTCTGACTATTCTCATTTCCAAGGAGCATTCTGGCTGCAGTTCTTCCAGGACAGATTTGTTAGTTCTTTTGGTAGTCTATGGTACTTTCAGTATTCTTGGCCAACACAACTCAAAAGCATCAATTCTTCTTCTGTCTTCCTCATTCATTGTCCAGCTCTCACATGCATACGAGGCAACTGAAAATACCATGACTTGGGTTAGGCATACCTTAGTCTCCAAGGAGAAATCTTGGCTCTTCAGCACTTGAAAGAGGTCCGTCACAGCCGGTTTGCCCAGTGTTATACGTTGTCTGATGTCTTGACTGCTGCTTCCATTGGTGTTGATTGTAGAACCAAGTTATATGAAATCTTTAACAACTTCAATCTTTTCTCCATTTACTGTGATGCTGCATATTGGTACAGTTACGAGGATTTTCATTTTATGTTGAGATGTAATCCATACTGCAGACTGAAGTCTTCAGTCTTCATCAGTAAATGCTTCAAGTCATTCTCTTTCAGCAAGCAAAGTTGTGTCATCTGCATATCACCAGTTGTTAATGAGCCTTCCTCCAACTCTGATGCCATGTTCTTCTTCATATAGTCCAGTTTCTGGAATTATTTGCTCAGCATACAGATTGAATAAGTATGAGGAAAGGATACAACCCTGATGCACTCCCTTCTTGATTTTAAACCACAGTGTCCTCTTGTTCTGTTCAAACGACAGCCTTCTGGTCAATGTACAGGTTTCTCATGAGTACAATTAAGTGTTCTGGAATTCCCTTTCTTCTCAATGTTATCCATAATTTGTTATGATCCACACAACTGAATGCTTTTGCATAGTCTTTAATAAAACAAAAGTAAACATTTTTCTGGAATTCTTTACTTTCAGCCAAGACACATCTGACATTAGCTATTATATCCCTGGATCCACGTCCTCCTTTTTATTTAAATGCTAACTTCCATTGTTCCACTGAGGACATGGAACAATGGAAATTAGCATTTAAATAAAAATTGGGCATTTGTCAATTCATTGTACACTTAAAGAGGGTAGATTTTACTATTCGTAAACTAAACCTCAATAAACCTGGCTTAAAAAAGGATGTTCCCTAATTCTACATATTCTAAGGAAGGTACCTGCTGAGGCTTGTGCTATTTGGGGACAATTCTGTGTATTAACAAGGTAAACCTACAAGTAATGTCGCTCAAATCAACTCAAGACCTCAGGAAACATCTCTCTGTTTTGTACCAGGCCATACTCCCCCCAAAGCTCTGGTGGTATAGCAGTTAAAGCATCTGGCTGCTAATCAGGTGGGTGGCTCAAACCACCAGCTGCTCCATGGGCAGATGAGACAATCAACCTCTGTAAAGATTTACAACCTTGGAAACCCATTGGGGGTTGCTGAGTCACAATCAACTCCATGGCAGTGGCTTTGGGTGGTTTTTTAAAACTTCCCAACAGCTGTTCTCCACCAATGACTGAAGGATACAAAAGGAGGCCCACTTCTGGGAGAAACAGGACTCCTCTGAAAGGCAATTTTGGGTTGAGGTTTCAACTGGCCTTGCTGAAGCTTTCTCCAAACTGCACCGAAGTCTAAGACCTTCCTTATTTCCTTCACAGTGGTCTTTGTGTTCTGATGACACTTACACTTTTCCAGATCCCACCCCCTGCAATTATTTGTACCTCTACCGTATTGGTGTCTGCTCCTCAGAGGATGTGGACTAACATTTTGGGGTCCTTATCCTCCAACTTTCTTCACTGGCTGAAAGCTGCTCCTGTTGTTATGTGCCGTCAAGTTGGACCTGACTCATAGCTACCCCTCCTTGGGTTTCCAAGGCATTATCACTATGGAAGTAGATTGCACCATTTTCTTTCCGAGGAGTGGCTGCTCCTAGGAACATGAATTCACTAACACTACAGCCCATTGAAGAGATGAAAAAAAAATCCTCATGCAGTGCTAGAGCTGCTTGCAGTGGGAGGTCACTGGCATGAATAGGGATTTGAGTGGGACACCAAAGTAATTTGCTATATTATTATTAACCAGCCTTTATGAGTGTGGTTTCTACTGTTTTAATAAATAACTTTTCAAAAATCTCATGCATTTTTAAGCTCAGTTAGCTTAAGAGCAGGCCAATAAAAGACATCAAAATGCTTACCAAACATTTTCCTCGGTTAAAAAGAAAAAGACCAAAGTAGGGTTTTTTCCCCTCACTGGATTATAAATTCCTAGTACAATAAACCAACTGATTGCTTGAACTAAAAAAAAGATGTTGAAAACTGTCTAAGCTTAGTGAAAACATAACTTACTCTCGTGCTTCCATTTTCTTACTTAGAAATGGATTCATTCAACAAATACTTACTAAATATTTATTGGCATCTACCAGATACTGGTCTAGGCACTTTTGATAAAATGGAGTTAATTCAGAAGACAGCCCAAAAAGAAAAAAAATGAAGACAAAATAACTTCAGGTTTATTAAAATGCCAATTTTGGAATTCCATTTATAAGAAATAACATCCTTTAGCTATTTCAGGAATGAAAATTTTCTGACTGGAATAAGAGAGCCATTTATTTTCTGTACAGTTCTATACTAAATGACCTTACATCAAGGCCCACAGGATAAAAAGGTTCAGAGTTTATTGTAAGAGTTCTTAAAAGCAGATATAAGAAAAGTAATCAGTCCAGTTGATTTGGGAAAATATAGCTTAAGGCCCAAATGATGTGCATGTTATACATATTATACATGTTTACATGTTTTAGTCCATTGAAGTTAAGCTGAAATGTTCTCATTTTAATTCTATTTAGTAGGCCATGAGGCATGACCAAAAAAAATAAATAAATAAAAATAATCCAAAATGAGTATGTAAAAATAAGCAATGTTTATACAATAAAGATAAAACTGATAGCAATTAAAATGCATTACACTGTTCTAATATTACTTAACTTAACCAAGGGTACATACACATGGACCCAGTATATTAGAGTCATTTGAAATGCTGTAACTAAAAACAGTCACCAGCAAAATACAACAAAGGATTATTTAAAAATTAATTTAATGCTTGGCTAAAGCATAATTACATATATAATTATCAAATAATAGTCCTTAATTTCCAAAAAGTTCCTTTTTTGAAAATCACAGAATCAGAAAGCGTAAACTTTAAAACAAGTTCTCTGAATATTTACAATGTGATATAAACATTATAGAAGACCATGGAATATTAAATTGCCTGGGTGTAGCTAATCAGCAAGGCATATTCTTTATTGCATATATAACTCACATATGTGGGATCTTAAATATGACAGACTACTAAAATTCAAATGCATGTACTTATAAGCTAGCCAGAGAGTAAAATCAAGAATGAGACAGGATGGTCAGCCCAAAACCATGTAGCAGTTCAGTTGTGGGTTTGTTACTTTAAAAATTAAACTTCTCTATTCCACCTGAACTAATTTGCATATATTATTTAGAATTCACATTAAATCCACATTTGACTATAATGCTGATTCAAGGAAGAAAATTCCCCATTCACTCGATGACTAAGTCCACAACTCAACTCTCAATTTTAAGGCAGCACAGCTACTGTGACAGCAACTGCTAACCAAAAGGTGATGAACATTTAATTACTTGCCAGCCCTTTTGTTGCAATGTGTACTAATTTCCCTAAGATGATTTGCTACTGAATAATTTTCTGCTGTTAAAAGGCTTACTCTGTAGAAAAACACCACAAATTTCCAGTGTGAAAGTAACTCCATGGTGGTATAAATATATATATATATATATATATATATATATATATATGCATAATTACACAATTTACACTGCACACATCGTTTACAGAGGACAAATAACTGTGAGGGCTAATTTGAATGACCATACAAAATACTTCTGTAAACATAGTATGACAGGCAGTAAGTAAGGAAAACATTCATAGACTCCTAGAAATAATCTGAATTCCTTTTGTTGTGAAGAAATTGCATGGAAGGACACAGTATTGAATATAATAATGTTCTTTGTATTAAAACAAGAATCAATATTTTACAGTTTAATAAACTTTACATATGTACAAAATTTATACACTGGGAATGGTATTCAAGCAAATAATAAGCTTTTCAGTCACACAGATCTATTTTCCTTCAATCAAAGACTTAAATTCTTTGACATTATGGTCACTTGCAACAGCCATAGCATGATCCAGAGCTCGAACACTTGCAAGGAGTTTTATTATTTGTTTTATGTTTTCCCTAAAAAAGAAAGAATGTAGTAGCATCTCATTAATTAATACAAAAGGATCTGAGAGAAAATTTACTATTAACTTTTTCCAAACATATACTTTTTTAAGATTAAATTTTTCCAAACATACACTTTTTCAAAAAGGGAATAAAATAAAGATAAGCAAGCTATATCATGTATAAACATGCGTTATTCATCCATATAAAATGAAATTTTGTATTTAAATAAGTAGCCCAGAGATAGGGACTCATTTAA